CCCGTTTTACAACAGTGGCACCATGCAGTATTTGTCCCTTTGTGACTGAGATATTTCACTCAGCATAATGTCCTCCAGGTTCATTCATTTTTAATAATATTGCATTAGTTCCTTGTTTTTCAGTGCAGCGTAGTATTCCATTGTGTGAAAATACCAGAGCTTCTCTATCCATTCGTGTGTTGATGGGCACTTGGATTGATAAACAAGGGTGTGCGTAACACTTTTTTTTTGTTTCTTCACTCCTGTTGCCAAAAGTATTGATCGTGGATCCTCGCAAGATGACATTGTTAACCACATCAGTCTTCTCTCCATCCATTATGATGCTGTCTGATTGTCCAGAAGTGAGGGTTTCTGCTTTCTTGATGTTGAGATACAATCCATACTGAACTCTGTAGTCTTTGCCCTTCTGCCGTAAGCACCTCAGGTTCTCTCGAATTGGCAATTTGAAATATTAACTGAGTAATTGACCGTGTCATTCATATACCACAGGGTGTTGGCGAGCCTTCCTCCCATTCTGATTCTGATGCCACATTCTTCTTCTCAGAGTCCAGCTTCTCTAATGGTTTTCTCTGCATTCAGATTGAATAGGTATGAAGAGAGAACAGAGCCCAACAGGCACCTCTCTTGATTTTAGAGCCCAACATACATCTTTCTTGATTTTAAATCACACAGAACTCTTCTTCTCATTTCAGAAAACTGACTCCTGCTCTAAGTATAAGTTTTCCACGAGCTCAATTAAGTGGTCTAGGATTCCCATTCTTCTTTATGTCATCCACAACTTGTTATAATCCACATAACCAAAGGCCATTGCATTGTCGATAAAACACAAATAGGCATACTTCATAATGCATTGGATAAATATGTTATAAAACATATTAAAAAAAGCAAATATGGAAAAAAATGAAAAAGCAAGTATGTCACTTTGATGAGTAAGTTGTGCCTGACCCAAGCTATGTTTGTGTCTATGAAGTCACATATCAGACAAACATGAAAACGTTCATGGAAGGAAGATGTCAGGAGAATTGTTACTTTGGAATTTTGGTGTTGTTAAGTAGAAGTAAATACACCATGGTCTGTCAGAAAATCAAACAAGTCTGTCTTGGAGAAAATACAGCTGGAGTGATACTTAGAGCTAAAGAGAATAAGGTTCTGTCTCATTTAGTTTTGACACATTTTCATGATGTTAACAGTAAGTCAATGTCTTTCTTGAAGACAAAAGATCACAAAAAAGATTGAGTTCAAGTTTAGCTGCTCTGTTTGCTAATTTGGATCCCTTGAAAATCCCACAAGGCACATCTCACCCGGGTACATATGAAACTGTTCTTAAATATTTTCTCTCAGATGTTATGAAGAGTTCTGTCTTCACCGCGGTTATGGCCGAATTATACTTCTCATGAATTTGGGGAAAATAAACGTAAAACCCCAACTTTCTAGACTTAAGTCTTCCAATTCTTAGTGCATGCACAAGTAAGAAATATACACATTCCACTGAGTGCGGATGTCGCCCCAAAAGCCTTTCTTTCCCCCTACCCACTTCTTTTTCAGGTAACTATGGGACCTGGTTTGACCATGTTCGTGGCTGGCTGCAAATGAGAGGTAGAGAGAATTTCCTGATGATAGCATATGAGGAGCTGCACCAGGTAAGCACAATGGTACACTCTCTTAACCGAATTCAGAGCATCAGAATGTCCATGCATTCTTAACTTTTCTTCTTCCGTTTATTATTGTGCTCAAAAGACAGGCATCGAAACTTTTACTAACCAAATCATTTCAACACCTATAATTTATCGTTGTTGTTGTTGTTGTTATGTGCCGTCGAGTCGCTTGCGACTCATAGCGACCCTATGTACAACAGACCTAAACCCTGCTCTGTCCTGTGCCAGTCACACTGTCTGACACTCCCATCCCGATTACCCCAGTCATTGAATCAATCCACCTCATAGAGGGTCTTCCCCTCCTGCGCTGTCCCTCCACCCTCCCAATCATAATGACCCTCTCCAAGGACTTGTCCTTCCTTGCAACATGTCCAAAGTATGTTAGATGGAGCCTCAGAATCCTTGCCTCCAGAGAGCCGCCCAGTTTAATCCTTTCCAGGATGAATCTGTTTGTTTTCCTAGCAGTCCATGGTACCCTCAATACTCTTCTCCAGCACCATAGCTCAAAGGTATCAATTCTCCTCCTTTCCTCCTTAGTCATTGTCCAACTCTCTGATGCATAACAAGTGATTGCAAAGACCATGGCCTGTATCAGACGCACCTTAGTCTCCAGAGAGACACCATTGCTCTTCAGTACTTTGGAGAGGTCCCTAACAGCAGACTTTCCCATCGCAATACATCTTTTCATTTCCTGCCAAGTGTATTGACTGTGGAACCAAGCAAACTAAAACTGTGAACAATCTCAACAACAGAATTTATCATTACTGATTCCGTTATTCAAGTGGTGCAGACTTTGTTACCCCATTTTTTACATAATTTCACAACCTGTATTACAAACTCAATATCCTTTACAGCCACTAATCCCTGGTCTCTAGACACACGAGGGTGACACGTATGTGAATTATGCAGTATTGTTTTGGCATGCAGGAAGACTGTATTCCTCTTTGTGACTGAGCAGTTTTCCGTATGTATCTATGATGTTTACTCATTAATTCTACTTCATTCTTCAATGGTTGCACTCCATTTTACAGAGGTTGTATCAGTGACTGGATCAAATAGGAATATTGTTCCTCTTGTATCATTTTCCTTCCTACTCTCATAGAGCATGTCTTAGTTTTTAAACGACCTCAGTGTTTTCTTTAGCCCCGCCCCCCATTCCACATCCTTAGGAAGAACCTGAATGCGTGTGCATTTTGAAGGAACTGTGAACATTTTGAAAACGAGCAAAGGAGCATGTGGCCCTGGAGTCCGTTCCAACTCGTGGCAACTGCGTGTGATGTATAGGAGAACTTCTCTCATACCATTTTCTCGGCTGTAATCTTTGTGAAAACACACATTCAGACCTTTCTCCCAAGGCCTGAGGAATGAATTGGAACAACTTTAACTTGAAGCTTTGACTTTAACTTGGAGCTGAGCGTATAACACAGGGAACTTTGAGGGTCAAGACAGAGCAGTTTCTAAAGATTACCTTTCCAGAGCCTCGGCCCAGTGTGTAAGTTCTAAAGTCTTCGGGACCCAATCACACAAGGTGATCAATGTTGTGTGTGTTGATTACCTCCCTGCCTCCTCTTCATTGTTTCCTCTTCATTATTTCCTTTCTCTTCTCCACTTTTGGTCACTTTCCGAACGAGTACAATCATCTCATTCTCTCCCTTCTTTTCCTCGATTTTTTCCCCTCTGCATCTTTATTCTTTACTGCGATGTCTGTTTCTTACACCATGTTGTATTTTTATTTTCACATCCTCTTTCCTTGTGCTTTTTTATTCTAGGACACAAGAAGGACTGTGGAGAGGATTAGTCAGTTCTTAGGCAAGAAACTAGAACCCGAGGAACTGGACTCAGTGTTAAAGAATATGTCCTTTCAAGTCATGAAAAGGAATGACAAGTCCAATTTTTCTGAAATTCCAGGACACATTTTAGATCTGAGCAAAGCCCCACTGATGAGAAAAGGTAAGACTGTATCATTGTAAAATAGGAAATAAATGGGCAATGAACAGCCTTGATTTTAGAGCTAAATTAAGACAATACCCAAGGAAAGTGATTGAGATAAAAAAAATTCACATGAAGGTCCTCATCCTTCTGAAGTTTGCAGAGGTGGGGAAATGAAGCCCATCAGAATATCACCCACGACAAATAGCCTAGCTCCTAGCAAAATTCCAAAGTGGTACAAATTGTTAAGCACTCACATACTGGTTGTAAAGTCAGTATGAACCCACCCAGGGACGTCTTAAGAGACAGGTCTGGTGCTTCTGAGAACTCAGAGTAGAAAGACCCTATGGAGTTCAGTTACAATCTGACACACACGAGGTCACCGTGCACCAGAGCCACTAGAAACTACCATCAACAAAAAAGAACTTTTCCAGCTATTGGTAATCTCACAGAACCCTGATCCATATTTCTCTTAAAGAGTTCCTCTCAACATCAAGAAAACAGAGGTCCATACCACTGGGTCAAGAGGCAATATCACACCTTTCTACGAAGATGGCGCCGAAAGTGAAGAAGGAAGCCCCTGCGCCTCCCAAAACTGAAGCCAAAGCAAAGGCATTAAAGGCCAAGAAGGCGTCCTGAAGGGCATCCACAGACAAAAAAAAAAAAGATCCGCACGTCACCCACCTTCCGGCGGCCTAAGACGCTGAGACTCTGAAAGAAGCCCAAATACCCCCGGAAGAGCGCCCCCAGGAGAAACAAGCTTGCCCACTATGCCATCATCAAGTCTCCCCTGACCACTGAGTCAGCCATGAAGAAGATAGAAGATAACAACACACTTGTGTTCACTGTGGATGTCAAGGCCAACAAGCAACAAATTAAACAAGCAGTAAAGAAGCTCTATGACATTGATGTGGCCAAGGTCAACACTTTGATTAGGCCTGAGGGAGAGAAGAAGACCTATGTTCGACTTGTTCCTGACTGTGATGCTTTGGATGTTGCCAACAAAATTGGGATCACCTAAACTGAGTCCAGGTGCCTAATCCTAAATGTAAATTTTTCTCACCAAACAAACAAAAAACAAAACCAAAAAAAAGAGGCAATATCACAATAGGTGGAAACTGATTGGACAATATTTTCATCTCACCTGGATCCACCAATATCACTCTTGAGACCTGCACTCAGGAGATCAGGAGATGAATTGCTACTGACACATCTGCTCTCAGCAATTTCTTCTAAACTAGTGAAAAGCAATGATCTCTGTTTTAAGATCAACGTGTGCCTGGTCCAGACTCCTTGCTGTGCATCTCAGAGCGAGACAGCGAATAAAGATGACAGAAGACGTGATGCTTTTGAGTTGCGGTTTTAGAGAAGAATACTGTATATCCCTCGGACAATGAAAAGAATTAGTATAGTCATACAATGGAATACCATGCAGCATTGACAATGACCTCGTAAAACATTACACAACATGGGGGATCCTGGAGCACACAATGCTGAATGAAATCTCAGTCACAAAAGAACAAACACCGCATAGCACCACTGTTATAAAGCAGATCGGACATGGGGGATTGGGAGGAGACTAGAATGAGAGTGGATAGATAATGACTATTGCATTGGATCAGATGAAGGAAATAATTATTAAAAAGCAATATATAATTAAGCATTGTGTAAGACAACAGCCCAGAATTAGAGGTACATCAATGCAAAGAGGACTGGGAGATGGGAGGGGGTAGGTAATTGTGTAATGAATGATTTTTTTTTACGTGAACTGGGGCAGTTCACATCCACCAGATGCTCTGCTGGAGAAGGAGAACAATCTTCTCCTGTATCAGTCAGATCCAACTTGATGGTGCACACATAAAAATAATAAATTAAAGAAAAGAAAAAAGTGAACTAGGAGAAGAGGAAGGGAGAGAGAGGGGTAAAATGTGCAACAATAAATAAATGAAAATCTAAGTTCCCTGTAAACAGTCATAAAAATCACAAGATAAAATTTTATGTAAAAAAAAGAATGAAGAAATATGTCTTTCACAATGGAATACTAAGCTGCATTGAACAACAAGGAACTCATGAAATATTATACAAAATCGGTGACCCTGGAGGACGTTATACTGAGCAAAATATCTCAGTCACAAAAGGACAAATATTGCATAAGGACACTTGTAAAACAGAACTGACGTCGGGGTTGAGGGAAGCCTGAGAAAGTTGGGATAAATAATGTATACTGCATTGAAACAGATGAGGGAGAAAACTGTTTATAAGGGATAAATTATAGATATTATTGTCACGACAGGAGTCCAGAACGAAGGCTGCATAGTGGAATGGACTTGGTGGGAGAGACTGTATAACAATAAAACAATTTTTCCTTTACTTTTCAAAGAGAAGAATGAACTATGGGGGAGAGGTGGGCAAGGAGAAAAATGCAACAATGAATGAACAGAAAGCCAAAATCTCCGTAAACTTTGATTAAGCTTAATTAAAAAAGGGAAGGAAAGGAATAGATTTGACAAAAGATACAAGCTTTTAATGGAGAAAACCACAACATTTTGTTGAAAGAAATGAAAAACATAAATTGAAAAAAAAATTTTTTTCCCAGCCAAGGTTCATGTTCTCATTGTCTTAATGGTATCTTTAATGGTGAATTTTGATGGGGGGTAAAAAAGTGCAGCCACAGTGCTCTTTGGACATATGGATGGAGAAGGATTTAAACGTATGGATGGAGAAGTTTCTCCTGCTTTGGACATGTTGCTAGGACAAGCTATTCCTTGGAAAGCCACATCATGCTTAGAAAGGAGGAAAGTCAGCTAAAGACAACAAGATCCCCCTTGAGATAGTTTGACGTGATGACTGCCACAGTGAGTTCGAGTGTATCACAGATGAAAAGAATTGCACAGGTGAGGGCAGGACTCAGGTCTGTCGGTCATAGGGTCGTTAAGAGTCACACTTGACCCAGTGGCCCCTCACAACAGCTCACCATGATGGTGTGCTCTCCACCTCTACAGAGTGAGCCTCTCTCTCATTTTTGACCGTAAAATATCCACTGTTCTAAATGAATGACCTTTCTGCAGTAACTAAAGCAGAAGAAAGAAGCATGATTTAGTTGAAGGTCAATTTAGTTGAAGGTCAATTGTTCTTGTGACTATTATTCTTCTCTACATTTCTGTCAGAAAAAAATCTTGTTGCTTTTTTTCTCACCATCTCTATTTTTATCATCTAGGCCAATAGGTAAAAGAACACTTACTATTTCTACACTCTTAACAATTACAATTTAGCGACATCCATTAAGTTAATGACATCTTTCGACCATCTCTGGTCTCCATTCTCAATTTTTTTTAATACTTTCTTTTATTTTTTATTTT